AATTCAGAATGTGACAAATGACAGGTAAATGTTGTACTTCCCAGCTGAATCCCGCGTGGTGTGTTATGGGTAGTGTGCAGTGAATTTATAATGTAGGAATAACATAGTTTATGAGCCCGTCTTCTAGCTGGTATAACTATACGATGTGTTCTGCTACCTGCCTACCCCAGTGTCCCGGGTGACATTCACAATACAAAAGTACTTACTACCAACATGCCAGTTCCTCACCCGTGACGCAGTAAAAGTGTGGCGATGAACATACCGGAAAAGCAAACTAGATTATATCGGATATTGTCCGTCCCAACTGCGAGGTGGTTTACATAGCAACATTAGTGTTTAAATTCCGCATTATCATTATACTTCGTTAGATTTTTTTTATAATATTTCAAAGCTCATTTTGTTTACACACGCCTTTAGTACGCAGTTCTTAAGAGATTCGACTGAATGACAGACAACGCCGAATATTATACGCGGACTAATATGACAACCCAGAAACCGTAAAGCTGAATAACCAATTAAGCTGAATAATATGTCCATATAGCTACGTATAATAACGACAATCTTTAACTTTGATTTGTCGGCTATTTGTCACAAATAATTAATCAAAAATATCTAATAAAATCTAATTTAATAATTATGCTTCAGTTAAATAATAATCAGGAGTAATGTGTGTCAGGATATATTTTATTAAAATCTTTTTCATCTGTATAATAATTGTCTTACAGTCTCTCAGTGGATTATGGTCAGTTTTGACAGTATTAGATTTTGTCAGATTCTACTACTACCTAACTATAATATATCTTGTTAATACAATGGAATGTTAATCGCATTATGATAGTATTGAATGTTGTCGCATTGTCAATTTTTAAAGCACAATTTCACAAATTATTACCATAATTTTAATTCAACTGCGATTTATGTAACAGTGTGATAGAACGACTCGACAAAGCTACGAGTGTAAATGACATGGGTGGAAATGGACAATTTCTTTACTGTTAACTTGATACTGATGCAACAG